TAAGATGGCAGACACAATTTTAGCTTACAACAACTCTGTAAAATATGATAGCTTGAGATTGGCCAATGAGTTTAATGGCTGAGTTGGAATTTGATCATGAAGCTCTCTTTTCTAACCTCTAACTGCTACCCCACATAAATATTCTGAATGTTAATAAAAGCAACTATTTAGAATGGAGCCAGAAGACATAGATGTGATTCTAGCAGTCAACCATATATGCAATTTCAAAAATGCTTTTCTGTGTTGCTTTAAACATTTAAACTCTTTCAACAGTAAATCAGTTGATAAGTTAAATAAAATCAACCTAGAAAGAGATTATTCTAAGAAAATAAAAGCAAAATGATCCAATTGCTGCAGGTTGAGCTGTGAGAAACAAAACTGATTTTCCTAGGCAATGCTATGTCAGAAATTGGATTAGAATCCCTTAAAAGTACCATGTTTTAAAATGGTTATCCTGTTTTTCTGTGTATATACAATAGAGTAATAGTGCCAAGACAAAGAGAGAATTACCATGCATCATATACATATTTATATACATTATAGGATACCTATATACAATACATTAGCTACACTCTCCTCTGTTCTGATACACACATTGTTATGGAGACATATACAGAATCAAGCTCTCTCCCACATGATAAAGACAAGAAACTGTCATATTTTTTCTTTACGGGGCAACCTCCTCCCCTGTAGACAGAAAAGTCTGATCACCATTCTGTCTTGATAAAAGAATGCAATGCTCAATGCATTCTGAAATGCATTAAAGGAAAACAACACAAGAAGATGATGTACCCATTTCATATTAGGCAAAAGGTTATGTACAAAAGAAAATGGAGTTAGAAACCAAAGTTGCATTAGCAGTAGTTTTGGGTTTTTTTAGCTGCTTCTCTCTGTTACAGCTGTCTGTAAAAGAACATTTCTCGGAGTGGAAATGGTGTAGGAAATGGCTTAAGGCTTGTAGTATGGAAGGCACCTTGTGAAAGCGGAGCAGCATTTCATGGGCAGCAGTGAAGCGTATGGGTTAAGTTGCATGAGCAATCTTTCTTGGGCCAGACTCTCTACTCTTGTATTTATTTATTAATTTTGCTTTAATTATGTAATAATTAATGTAGAAATAATAATAATGTAGAAATGTTTGCATTTCTCTATTTATTCTTGGATTACTGAAATTATCACTAAAACTTTGGAAGAGACGGGATTGATTCAGGCGTCTCTCTACTTAGTTAAATCCATACAGTACACATCAAGCTGAAGATCAATGAAAAAAACAGTAGAACAAATGGAGATCCCTTGGTCTTTTAAGCTAAAATCAGCCTTTTGAAGGACCCTTGTAGACTTTGTAAAGGCTTTTGGCCTTTCTCAAATACTCACAACAAATGCCAAAGGAAATCTAGGAATGCCTACGTTGCTAATAAATGACTTCAAATGGAATATATCTTCAATTCATCTAGTACTGTATATGATAATCAACAGTGTAATTGAGAATTGAAACAAAAACTTGTTTCTCTTTTTCAGGGTCTATCTAATAGCTGGGTGTAAAGGACTCAAGCAGACCAATTCACTCTTTTCCTCTCACCATGTAGGTGGGTTTCTACAAATGGTACTCAGTATTTTGTAGCAACTAGAGATGACTGAATCTACTCAGTCCTCTTTTCTTTTCTTTTCTTTTTCTTTTCTTTCTTTCTTTGCTATTTTGAAGGGAGGCTTGCCTCCTTTTTATTTAAACTGTATATGCTGTACTTCACACTTAAGTGCTCACCCAATTGCATTTAATGATGTAGTCCTTTTCACGATGTCCTATTCAGTTGCCTTGCTTACCTTTTCTATTGCATTATTTGAGTTCCTTAAATCTTCATGTACATGTTATAGACATTGGCAATAGAGTAAAAATGACTACTGATCAAGAATTATGCCTTTCTGTGACAGTGTTCATATTTTAGGATAAAAATCCATATCATCCCTTCTCTATCAAGCTACAGAATGAAAAACACAGTGAGTTATGAGTAGTGATAATTTAACAAGTACCGCATTTGTGCATGAACAGTGCTTATATCAAGGTAGAATCACACATAAAGCAAACTAAAGGCTTTCTACTCCAACCTTCTTATATAGAATGTAAAAAGAGCCCATCACAGCAAAAGTACATCTAGTCCAGCATTCTGTTACCTAGTGTGGTTAACCCAATACTTCTGCAAAACACAACAGCAGAATGTGATGTGGCTGTTCCTCAGCAACTGTACACTGTATTCCAGGTATGGGTGCACCATAAATTTATATTAGGTTATTATTACACTGGCAGTTTAATTTTCAATCCTAAAAACTAGTCAACTATCCATCCAGGCCATCCACTAGCTATACATCAATCCACACGATCCAAATTACTGTGTGTCACATGAAGAGTATATACACTCAAGAGTTGCTTTCAGAATTATAGCTCCAGATCTGTAAATCAATCCAGCCCACTATCACCCATGTACAGTGATGTACCAGTGCCTCTATACATCTCCTGTTTTCATTGGTTTTCCAGAACTGCAAAAGCAAAGGGGCTTGTCATGGCTAGTGCGCTCATTCATCTTTATGCAAAACTATTTTTTTTTCAATTTATATCCTGCCTTTTTCCTACAAAGGGCTCAAGGCAGCTTACATCATTCTCCTCCTCCATCTTATCCCCACAACAACAACCCTGTGAGGTAGGTTGGGCTGAGAGTCTGTGACTGGCCCAAAGTCACCCAGCTGGCTCCATGGCTGAGCGGGGACTAGAACCCAGATCGTCTGAGTCCCAGTCCCACGCTCTTAACCACTACACCACACTGGCTCTCCAGCTTGTTCCATTATACCAGTTTGCTCCCAACTCAAGAGGGCCAAACAACACTTCAAGAGAAGGAAAACACAGAAAGACTCACAACATCAAAATTTACCCTGTTTCTGATGCAAACTGTTCTTATAAAGTACTCCTTGGTCTTTTTTGATCAGTCAGTGGAATAAATATTTCAGTACAATGAGACTAAAGAGTAGATTTTGTTGCCAAGGACAGTTATAGTCAAGTATTTATGTAGTACATTAGTGTTTAATTAAATATTATATTTTCTTTGTGTGCATTAACACATATCCACTCATATTTTTCCATGCATTGAATTGCATCCTTCAAGTTCCATTTTAATATTTTCTATATTGCATGTTTTGAAAAATATTTAATAAAATATTCCACGCAAAGTAAAATACTATAGAAAGCACTGAGAGCAAGATAGCATTGTCAGTCAGTAAACATAATAAATTGAAACAATGATGAGATCATCTAAGATAGGGAAGACATTTAATGTACCAGTCAGGATAGCAGTGAAAGTGAATGGTGGCTTAAAGGCCAACAATAAAGTTGCTGATATTATTTTACATATTTAGTACAAATGATGTGCTAGATGCCAAAACAGAACATGCATACAGCACTCAGCAATTTGTGTTCATCGTATATATCATGATCATACAATGGATTAATTCCAGATTAAAGCTGGCAGAAGAGGGTGGGCAGAAAATGATTTTCCCGTAAACTATGGCAGCACATGAAGTCCTTGAAAAAACTCTCTGCAGGGCCAGAGGGCCCTGCTCTGATCCTGGAACACCTCTTTATTGATTTTCAATGATCACCCCTTCTTTCACAGCAGCCCCACCACAGCCACCACATTCAGCAGTGTGCTCCAACAAGGGAATGGGTTTCCATATATATTCTTCTCCCAGCATTTGCCTGGATTGAACCCTATGAAACTAGACCTATAGTCTACAGTAGGTGGTTCCTTCTTGAACAGAAGACCCCATGCCTCATTACAAACTTCATCTGAAACTGAAGAAAATTTCCAAAAGCAGTTTGTGTTATATGGCATATATAACAAAACATAAAATAATAAATAAAATCCAGTGGTCTACTGCAAGCCCTTTGTATCAGTTGGGTACCTTTTTGGATCATAGGCAATGTATGTGTGCAATTATATAGATTTAGTAAACATTAAGTAAGCATGTCCGTTAAGTAATTATTCTCACTGCACTATTTTCCATTGATTAAAAGACTAGTTTTTGTATAACCATGTATTTTATTATCATTTGTCAGGAATGCCTACTTTTTCACCTGACAAATAACATCCATCTGTGTTGCAAGCATTTTCAAAAGACAAAAACTGTGGGAAAGTACAAACTGAGATGATGGATCTCTGAACAAATGCTTTCTATTTCATGAAATTCAGTTCTACAATCGCAATATACACAGTGAACAAAAACTTTTATGACAACACATGCAAAATAACATGTATTAAATTTCTGTGACATAAACACTGACTGCAATTGATATAGTCTTACAGCTTCTTGGATTGCAATGCCTACACAGATGTAACATGGTTAAAGGAGAAGAAGTGGGATATGATAGTTTGTGTTTCTTCCCTTCCCCCATGCTCATTCTCTCATGCTTCTTTAAAACTTACACCATTGGTACCAACTTCAATCATGGTCAACATTAAACAGGATTTAATATTAACCAAGGTTTGGAATCACATGTCAAATCTGCCTACCCATATAAATTTATGTTTAGCTCTTTCCTTGCCAGCATATTTTACCCTTAAAAGCATCCTAAAATTATTTTATATGAATAAAAAAAACATTAATTTTAAGTGCAAATCTTCATCCTTGATTTTAAAAGGGCACTGTGATTTGTCTATTTAGTACACTCTGATGCAGCAAACTTAATTCAACTGTTGAACTGAGACAGAACTCAGGAGTGCTTGTGTTACTTTTAAAAGCTAATTCTAAGGTACAAAAGATAATTTTGCATAATGTTGAGGTTGCACAAATAAAAGGGCACATACCTGATTAATGTAAAATATTTTAAATGTTCAAGATTAAAATTAGGTGATATAAAATTATATGATATCAATTGCAGATGAGTTTATTTTTTGCTTACAAAGCCTACCCTTGAACAAGGCATACAGCAGAAAACAAACCCTTCTTTACATACAGACCTTCATAAGGTTTTATCTCCTTGTCTCCATTGTCTAGGAAAATAAAAGTAAAACAGAAAAGGGAACCAAAGCATGGGGTTAAAAAAAAACAAACAAACCAAACCTAGAATGTTTATAAAAGGTATAAAATATATCTTCATTTGGAAGATAAAAACTGAGAGTCTTCATCAGGCCAATAAAACAGAATTCTATAGGAATAGCTGAGAACTTGAAAGTTTGCATTGAAGGTGAATTTTACATTCTGGATTAATAAGTATAAATATTCCCATTTTAAAAGATATAGAATGAGAGCTAGGGGATAGAAAACACAATTTAACAAGACATAACAAAAAATTATTTGAAACCCAATGTATTTTGAATTTTCAGGGTGGGACTGACGATCTAGGCAAGTGTCCAATCCTATATCCACTTACTTCAGAGTAAGCCCTTTGAACTCAGTGAGACTTACTTCTGAGTCAACATGTACAGGATTGCAATGTACATCTTTTCACTGATCAGGCCCCTTATTTTGACTGGATCGCTTGCTGAGGGAATGTAGTTCAGAATGGAGAGGTGGTGCTAAGCCATTTACAGTTGGAAGACTGTTTATACTATGGGCCTTCTTTGCCCAGAATAATAGCAGGGTACAAAGCAGCATGACCATTGACCAGTCCTACTAGCACTTAGCCTTCTTATTTCTCCAACAGTCATCAATAAACATCTCTTGAAAGCCTTTGTGTGGAATGTGGGAAACAATATGAGTGGAAATAAAAATATTGTTATAAGTGGCAACCCATAATTTTGTTCTTGTTATTATTCATTCAATGAAAGAGCCATAGGTATACTTCAAAATTTTTCTATAATGCTTTCATTACCTCTATTAAAATCATATCCGTCAGATGTGTCACATACTTTGATCTTATATAGATTCCTTTGAAGTGAATGTAATTAGTAAGTTCAGCCTTTCAACCTTTTAAGATGGGGTTGTTTATATAAATTCATTTTTATAAAACCTTACAGGTTACATACTAACCTACATTTTGATAGAAATGGAAACAGGGCATATTATGCCCTATATATTATTTCTATAATTGTGATGCCAATTATAGAAATCAATAGAAAGTATTTATAGAAATCAATAGAAAGCTGCTGAAAAAGTAATAAGGCAATATAAAAACATATGTCTTGTGAAAAAACAGTTCCAGACTGTAAACATTCAAAGATTTAAATTTAAAGCTGCAGTAAATATTTTTTATACTTCCACAACATCTATGCACATCAAACAACTCACTTACTTCTCTCCAATGTCCCCTTTGGTGGGAGTTGTGGCAATTGTCTACCCCTGCGTCCTGCTACTGGAGTACCTGATGGGCTTGTTTGGACAGACCCCATACGAGCATGTGACCTATAGGACACATCAAGAAAAACCGTCAACTGTAAGATACATTTATTCTTAAATGTCTGAAGAATAAATAAATAATGAATGGTTTGTGTGCAAGTTGAACTGTTGTTGACATTGTGGCAGCTCAGTCCTACAATGTATAAAGGGACAGTTATTAATACATAATCTGAAAACAGCCAAAATTATGCAAAAGGATGATACATAGTATGTTTATGTAATTGCATCTGCTACATGTCTATGGAAATGTATGGAAGAACATATGCACACAGATGCATTAACCCATACAGAAAAAGATACACATGAAGTTGTGCTTATGCATGTGTTTTATAGTTTAATGAACAGCAGAAGGATATGTATGATTTCAAAATTCAGTTAACACATCGATTTCACATTTTACTTGGTTTGATGACAGGCAATAAAGCAGAGGTACATTTCAATGAGTGAAATGGAGTAATAACATTATTGTTCTTAATTATCATCATTCACTATTGAAAAGCAAAGAAACTAGAAAATATTTGATTTGGTCAAAGTCAACTCCACACATTTCTTTGCCACCTTTCTTTATATTTTTTGTAGAAAAAGTTGAACTATACTCCTTGATCATGAATTCACTACATTACTTAAACAGGAACAATGCAGAACATGCACACAAAAAATCAGAGAAAACAGTGGTTAAATTAGTGGTTAATACATGAAAATTAATACAATCAAATTTAGGAAACTGTTTTCTTGAAAAAAAAGTTTCATTTGATGTTATGATGGTTGTTCCATAAGTGATGTCTGATAACCACATACAATTTCTCATTCTGTAAGAGAAGTACATGGTAGTTATGAGGTGCTTTGGTGTGAGAAATCACCCAGGATTCCTGATAAATGAGAAATCACAAACAAATGTAATTAATTGTGTAATTAACTATTGTTAGTAAACAAAGTACAATGGCAGGCACACCATTATATCCCTAATGGAATATAAATAGTGTGTTGACGTTGGCACGGTTAGTATCTACAGGTACTAGTGATCAGCCAATGATGAAAGGCAATATTATTGAGCTTTTGGGAAAATAAAAGAGTGAGCTGGTGGGGCGGGATTAGTCTGATTCGATTGTCTGTTTCACCTCGATAAGGCAGGTGAGGGAGGGGCAGATCTTCCAGTCATTAATGAAGGCATCGATCTCATGAGGTTTGAGTCAGGACGCTCAGTGGATCGGGAGCGGGGGCTGGGCCGCTCTAGCACAGGACGCTGTTCTGTTGATCTGGATCTTTGATATGGTAGTCTAGGTTCCCAATTCCTGTAATGTTAGTCAAAAAGCAGCTCAATGGACCTTTATCTGTAGTTATGCATTATGCTGCATCATACTGGGTTTGGAGATGTTCATTATTAAGTACATTTCAAACTTTTAGTTTTTAGTTTGCTTCTAAATTATTATTGTTACATTGCATTTATATCCTGCCTTTCTTCTTCTTATAAGGAAGCCAAAACAGTCTACAGGGTTCTTCTTCTCTCCCTGTAAAGTAGATGAGGCTGAGAGGCAGTGACTGGCCCGAAGTTACCCAGTGTGTTTCATAGTTTTGTGGAGAATGGAAGCCAGATCCTGAGTCTCAATCCGACACTCTTGACCATTATATCACAATGGCTCTAGATAATGTTCAGACATGTACTAAAGGCATGTGCTTCCATATACCAAAATTGGTATATGAATGGAATCATTTTAAAAAGATCAATAATGAATATAACCTATAGTGTTTTTCCACTGGCATATTCTGCAGTAAAATAAAGTGGTGACAATTTTGCAAAGATTCTGCGAATTTAAAATGCTGTACTGACTAAATTTTAAAAAATAAAAGTGAATGGACTTTTTCAGACATAATGGTGATACCCAGCAGCAATCGATGAACTGATTAATTGCAGGCATGTGTGCTATACAAGAATGACTTCTGGTTTCTAGCACAACCTACAAATGCAACATATGCACATTGTTTCCATGACATCCAAACAGGCATTTGTTTCATAGGTTAAACAAGAAACTGGAAGTGTACATTTCATTGCAATTCATGGATTAATTAGTGCACAAATTGCTGCAAGTCACCACCATTATGTACAAATTCAGTCACTGTAAAAATCAAGCCATATCTTGCATTTTCAGTCAACAAAGTAGACAATGATAACTGTATACTTCACCAGAATTACAAAATATAAACAAGGGATTTCAAGATCAAGCTGTGTATAATAGTTATAAATAATTTACAAAATACTGGCGTCAATCATCAGGCAAATTTTAGAAGGGGATAAAAGAGTTTTAAAGCAGATCAAATCTATCTGCTACTGAACAACATTTGTATGACTGATGCAGTAATATTACTGCACCTATGAGGGAAAGAAATACAAAGAACATCAGATTGAAGGTCTGATATGACTAATGAGAAAATGTAAAAAGCCAAAATAGGCACAAAAAATTCTGAATAAGTATGCAAATATGCTGTAGCACAAAACCACTTGTACAATGTACTTGTAAACTTCTATTCTAAACAAAGGATATTAAAGAGGATTTTTGCAGTATCTATGTATGTGTGTAATAATTAAGGTCCTTACATGTTGCAAGGAATGCTGCGGATATGGAAAGATGCTGGCCAACAAAACTGTTAAAAACAACTTAATTCATACATTTTAACTTATGCCTTGCCTTCAAATAAAGAATTACAAATCAACACAATTAAGTTATTACTCACAAATTAATATAATTTAGGAAATTAAAATGTAATTTAGTGTTAAGTGGGCAAGAGAACACAGTTGTATTATGAAGCTCTCACAATATCTAACAGCAAATTGAACTCCAATATACCCAAAGCTGTCCTGTGGAATCCAAATGGTATGAATGTCACAGCTTTCATTCATTTCAGTGGGATTTGTCCAGAAGTTCTAATAGCTTGCCAACCTTCCTCTTAGAGAAAGTAACTTTGCAGATTTTTAAAAATAAAAGCAACTGTCACACGTGCTAACATGTGCCTTCAATGTGATAATAAGTTAGAGCCCCACAGACAAGTTCAGAATAATGCCAGCCAATAAGAGCCTCTAATTTAAAGCACCTAACAAGCATACACACTGCACCAGAACACAGAAAGTATTTGCAGGGAGGAAGCATAGCTAGCTTCAGGCACACCCACAAAGATTACCTCATGTTTTCTTCTGGATCTACATGTTCACTTTCTGAATAGGAAGCTTGGTCTCCCAACACATCCATTGTTTCACTTCTTTAATGTCAAGGATAAACAAAAAAGTCACCTTAGCTTGAAACAACTGACACTTAACTGACACAAAATTTAAGGGTTCAGTGCTACATTTGAAAGAAAGGTCTACACATTTATGGTAGGAAGGCAATATAGTAACTTTCACTACCATATTTTCTTGACATGGCATGAATGTAGACCTCTCTTGTTGGGTAGGAAGATATATATTATGGATGGAAGAGAGAGAGAATGCTTTGGCTTCAAAGTAGTGTTTAAAGTCATATTGCCCTTCTCAATTATCTTCATAGCATGGGAATTGCTGTTTTGCAGCTCCTTCCTGCATTCAGAAGTATTTATCAGAAGCTGTGGGCCATATGGGAGAGCTATGTTCTATACAAATATAGCTCTTCCTATATATTGATACTCAGAAACGACCCAGAGCGCTTTAGCTATTGGATGGTATAGAAAGTTAAATGACATGATGTGACCTGTAAAGCAGCTCTTATATACTAAGAGTGGCCCAACTGTAAAAATCTTTCTTATTCCACATACAGGACTAAAAATGAGGGAATAAGAAGATGCTTTATATACAAAGGAAAAGTTACTCATGGAGGGTGGCAGGTACTGGGTTCTATGAGAAGCTTAGTAAGAATGTAACTGCAACTGGTTTTCCCTGAACAGTAAGGGTGAGCACACCCTTTTTCAAAGTATTTTGCATTAGCTTTTAATTAACCTACGTTACTCCTTGGACTTTCAATAGAAGGTGCTTGCTTGGCCGTATCTTGACAGGTTTTTCAAGCATAGGTAAATCATCCTATTGCTATTCAGTCACAAATTATTGTTTCTCTAATAACTGAAAGTTGCAAAATAATAAAAGTAGATTGCATCCACAAGGAAAATTATGCTCAAATTTTCCCTAAAAGGTATTTTGAAACTCTTTGTGTAATACAACTAATGATTTTGAATTTCACTGTTTAAATATTTCTAACTTTATCATCCTTCATTTTCTACTGGGAAAAAACCCCACTGATTTGATTTTCTTGTCAACTCATTGCAGAGCTGAGCACATTATTTTCCACATTCAAACAGGATAATGAATCCTTAACAAAGCATTTAGATTCTGCAGTTTCAGAAGGTTAAAAGTCATGATGAACACCAAAACCTTCAAATATTTCAGAATGAGAATTTAGCTTAAATGTAATCTGACAAATTAAAATGTACTGTGATTACAAATAAGTTATTTCTGTTGCATTACTAAAATCAATTTGTTAGTGTCCAGACAGAATACCTATACACACCTTGAGCTGATTACATAAAGTTTTAAAAATTAAGGAGGAGGAAAATGGACCCTGGATGCAAAATATATGTATACTTAGGTCAAGTGCATCAACGCAGAATGTTTTTTAAGATATAGATTATTGCTACAGTGAGCAAATGAGGAAATATAAATAAGTGTGCAAACAGTTCATTGCTTTCCAGAAGATGTGTTACCTGCCTCACAAAGAATGGCAGACATCGGATTAAAACATGCTCATCAAAAGCAATGAATATGTCTGTGACAAAGATGAAAACATGAAAATGCAGCAGAATACTGATGCATTTTAATGATCACATATGACTTTTTCTATTCTAGATACACTGATCACACTGAAATAAGGAATACAAACATATGTATACCCAGGAGCCACAACTCTAAGTCTCTACCAGCTACTTATTTTTGTACTGGGAATACCTGTCGGTATCTGTGGAAGGCTGTTGGATTTCAATCCTCGGACATGCTATTCTTCTACTAGCTATTGGAACTTTGCTGTTTGGTTATAGACACAAGAACTTTTGTTAGCAAGCCATCAATAACCTTTCCCACAAAGAGATTTCAATTTGTTCAGATGAAAAGTTTGTTATATGCTATTAACAGAGTATTTTCCAGAAATATACCCTTGCTATAGGATATAAACTACTATAAAATAAATGTATCACATATCTAATATAAAGTTATGCTGTGAAAAATATAAAACAGGGATCATAAAATAAAGTGTATCAGACAGACTATATATGCAGAATTTATGAAGTTGCACAAACAACAGATATTTTCAACAAAGATACAAGTATCTGGAGAAGATCTCATTTCCACTGGTATGCTTATGCAATGCTTGTTAAGATATATCCACTCTAAGATTAAGGTCATAAATAACTTAATTTTTCTTCCAAAATGTGTATAACAACAATTTGTCTGTCTGTGAAAATTCATAATTTCAGAAGTATTTATAAAAACTTCAAGAATTATTTTCCCACTATCTCTTCCTACAAAGATAAAAAAAGCTCAACATAAATCCTGTTAATATCCAAGAAGCCAACTGCACAGATGTAAATAAAGTTCTGATCAAATTTCAGAAGTTTCTGAAATATCATGCAACAACTTTTTCACTATTTCAACTTTAAAGTATAGTCAGATTTTTTTTACATCTGATGTGTCCAGTTCACAAGAACTTCTCCTATGTTGAGAGTAAGATTTCTTTTTCTCCTAGTTCCAAAAAGAAAAGATTTCCATCTCTGTAATATTCTGTAGTATTTGCATATGTTATGTGCAGTATTTGTATGAGTTTTCTTTTATAGAAGATACCCCAAATATATAGGTTCTGTTACACGAGTACTCAGACACAATACAAGTAGTGGAAGTGGAAGGCAATCCTTTCTCTTACAGACAGGTCACATGTATCATCAACCATGACAATTCTGGAGCAAAGTACTTCTCACTACAACCATGGCCCTCCTTAATGTATATCATTTGCACAAGGTATAACAGATATGATAGAGTAGTATTCAACTGCAGCCCTATGCGATATGTATCACCTACGCACGTATTATAATAAATATGGTGGACAATGTTGTAAGGGCAATCAGTGGAGTACAGCTAAATCCTATTATGACAGAACTTAATACTAAATTCTTCCCATTCTGTAGTATGGAGAAAGTATATGCGTTCAGAAAAGTATCATAGCACAGTAACAGAGATATTTCTCTGTATAGCAGCAAACTCAAGTATTCCTGTTCCAACAAAAATGGAGCCAACGTGAACAACTGAAAAGAAAGAGCAAGATATAAGCATGCTCAGAAAAACCTACGCTTTTGGGAAGTATCGAAACAGAATTACCGCCTTAAAAAAAAAAACCAAATCCACCAGAGAGAGAACTAAGCATGCTCAGCACTCACAAGGCACCAAAGGGTATTGGCTGTCAGTTCGAAAAGAAAAATGAAAAATAATGATGAAAATGAAAAATCCAAGTGAACTGGCTCTTGCTTATGCCCCTAACAGCTTCTCCTGCTGTTCATCAGGTACTGTGAACAACATGACCAGTGCTCAATGCTAGAGAGCAAACATCTACCCATGGAGTTCATCTGAAACACAACTGACTATACAATGCTGCTTTTAATCAATAGAATGTGGGCTACTGCAGGGTCAAAGCAGCCGCATAAATGTGGCTGAAGATACTGTATGCTCACAGGGAACCACAGAATGTTCAAGTGTCAGTTGAAAGCAAAAAATGAAAAACCAAGAAGAGATTGAATTGGCCTGCTGGATCCCTTAGCAGAAGTAAGATGTTCTGGCTGATTGGAGAAAATGATAAACTGTTGTAGGTACCACTTGCCTCTAGTATTCTAAAGAACCTGGTAAAATTCACATGTAATTCAATGGGAGTTTTTGAGTAAATACACATAGAATTGCACTACAAAGCACATAAGACAAGGAAGTATGCAGCAACCAACATGGAGGAAGATTCATGTAATTCCTGATACTCTCTTCTGTATCGAAGTATGCACATGGATATATTTAAGGGCAAGAATCCAATGTGATTGTAGTATGGTGAACCTACAGTAACAAATTCAGTTTTCTTTGAGAATAACATGAATCTTTCTTTCAATACTGAACTCTGTACTCAAGGAAATGATAGCAGATATCAGTCACAGTGAATCAGTCTAAGAATTCTTTTTTCATCTTGTACTGACATGTTTTATGTGTATATATTCTTCAGTTCTTTATCCTCCTGTTTCTGGTATTTTGAAGTTACAAACATGAGAATTTTACTGATTGAAATGCATTATGCTCTTCAACAGTCTTGCTTGGGAATTTGTTTTAGCTATCGAGATATGGTTACTATTATTAAAGTCACTAAATAATAGTTACTAAAGAATAAAGCATGGTTATTGTAAAATAAAGAATACCTGCTAAAGAAAAACACAAAAGAATTACTGTATATAGTGGTTCAAAGGCCTGAGCTTTCCTTTCTGGAGGTCTAAACTATGGATTGGTTCTTGAATAAGTTAGCTACATTTAAGTGTCACTGAAATAAGAAAGCAAATAAAGCAATGTTTTAACAAGTCCCACCAATTTCAATGCAAATTAAATGCAAATAATTTTGAAGCAGAATCTAATATGCAACACTATTTTCTGTCCTCCTGCAGCTCCCACAACTTCACAAAACTGTTCCAGAGGGCCTCCTGATCCTTTTAGGGACACATAGGAGAGGGGGAATTGCCTTCAGACAACAGGATGAACTAACGGGATTCCACTCATTTTTGGACTCAACTATGTATGTTATAAATTAAGGATCACATGATAATTTTTGGAAGGTAAAGTATTTGTCCCAATGCCAAGAAAAAGAGAATTAAATAAACATTCAAAGTATCTTGCATTATTCTTGTTCCATTAATGCCAAACACACTACTATGGGTGTATGAAATAAAACACACTTGACAACATTTTTGGTTGTTATATTTTCCTGTTCCCCAAACAAGATACTTGCATGACAAATCCATCTGCCAGAACAAAATAAAAAAGGAGTACTGTGGGCTTTTATCACTTATCATTCCTTTTTTTTTTTTTTTGGGGCAATATTTTCTGACTGTTTCTTATATAGAGCACTCCAAATATCTGTTGAAATGGTCTGTCAAGCCTTTGTATGTGTAAGCAATTTCCTTTTTGCTTCTTTGTTAGAACCAGAAATAGGCTACTATTTGGGCTTTGGTAGCCTATCCATGACTAACATAACATTTTAATTAGTCCAAAGAATACATTTGTAATGATAATTAAGCTTATAATTAATTTAAATACTTAATAATAAAAACCAATACATTGGAAAACAATTGAGTAAAGTAAAACAGATCACTACTACAGCATTTCTATGTCACAGTTTGTTGCAGTAAAAAAGAACTGAGGAGATTAAAGGCTCTGCAATTCACAGTGCCTTTCTTTGTAAGGGGTCATTTCACATAGCAGGGGGGCTTGGGCTCTGAACAGAGTGGAAATAATCAGATCATTCTTAAGGCTTCAATAGCTGATAACTATAAGTTCAGATGTGGTAACTGAAAATATACATAACTATAAATGGGAAGAGTTTTACTTGAAGAACTTTTACTATGCTGCTTCAGTTTTGCTGCATCCAAGCTGTGTAATCTGCCTTCTGCAAAATATTTTTCAAGAAAAGCTCAGAATCAAAGATATCTGATACTGTTTCTCTTTATATGGTAACACTGAAAATTATTGCTGGGAATTACAGGATGGTACACACCTAATTTAAATGCTATGTCACCCCATATCAGTGTTAGCACTTTCGCAGTAAAAATAAATTTTACATAATTATTATGAAAGGCTGAGATAAAGATACACTGCCTATGAGTGTGGCAATCCATTCAAAGATAAAAGCAGGCTTGCTCACCTGCAATTGTTCCAATAAAGAGCAACATTCAGTAACACTTATGAATGTTCACCAGTACTGTGACCAGTTGTGAAAAAATAAAATACTAAATAAGTACATTAATAAAACCTAACCCTGCTTAGGGCTGGTGAAAAAAAGAAATGAGATTCCTTTTATTGGGACTGAAATCTTTTAATATAATAAAATATAGCTACATTTAAATTGGGTTATTACTTATAGAATTGTAACACTACACTCTTTACTTACCCGTAGTTTTCAGCTGAACCATTGACTACATGATCTGCCCATGAACTTGCACCATTGTAATACCTTTGCAATGCAGTTAAAATAAAGACATGTTATAAATATGAAGCTATTTTCAAAATAACAGTTTTCATGAAACATATTTCCATCTTTCTAATTGAGATGAGATCTCCAGTGTTTTCTATATATCAGTATATAGATAGATAGATAGGAATAGATAGCAATGTATTTCCCCCTTTACCTCTTAGTGTATGCAATCATTGTCTCATTTAGGGTAGAGTCCTATGCCCACTTTGACAGAAAAATGGTCTACAAATCTCAGCATTTCCCAGTCAGACATAGGACTGTGCCCTTGACTTGCTATCTGTTACTATTTCATGTACAAGTTGTTCCTTCTTCTGCACCACACTGCTTTTACAAGGAGTTCTGTATTTATGGAATATATTCAAAGGACCAGAAAGAACTTTTTTCATGTAAAATATGCATCTCCCAAAAATCATTACAATCTTATTTTGTACCTCACCATATTTCTGTACATTAGGCACAAAGCTTAGCAAAGTAAGAACCACACTTTCCAGGCAACAAAGCTGTTTTATCGTCTTATATAAATGTGGAAGGGGTCCATTGACAATGCTGCTTCTGTGCTACATATACAGTGGTATCCAGCTGACAAAAGAGCTTCTCTCTGGGGAACTTTGCACCGGCACAGCAGTTTGCACGTTTTACCCTAACTATTAATGTATTAACATATATTTAACAAATATTTCAATTGCAGTAATTATTATAGGAGTTAAGTTTGCAAAAACTTTCCATATGTTTTAGTGGAACTTAATGTAACTTTTGCAGCTTCTTATCTATAGGTTCATCATAAAACAGGACTGAAAAAGATGGTCCTTCAGATAATTTGGCATAGAGTGTCCATCATCCCTCACAACTGGCTATGTGAGAGGAGTTGTAAACCAAAACCTTTGGAGAGCTGCAATTTGCTCACCTTCTCATAAAGCAATCTCATCTGAGTCCAATGAATTTATTCTCATTTACAGATTGAAAATCTCTCATTAAAGAGAGAACAATCTATGAATACAGAAATGACAACACTATATAGAACAAGAGGAAATACGTCAATGTGTATTGAAATCATTCCTTTGTAACTTATATAAACATGCAGAGTGCATTTCTAAATTAGAATCATGTGCCTTCATGAACAAGCTTCAGTAACAAAATTGCTAAACTAAAATATTATTAAAATATGACAGAAAGTTAAGACTATATATTGCTGTGAATACACAAATATGCACCTAAAATAACTATCTTACACAAGATCCACAATTTTCAGTAGTATGTGTAATTAACACAAGAATAGATGTTTCTATTATTAACAACCTATTAAAAATAACAAAACATCTTCCGTGTACAGATAGCTATTTGGAGGAGGTGGACCCACTAACTAGCTAGTATCTCTAGGAACTGTTAAAACCATCTAGATTTGCAAAGAAACTGAGAAAATCACAATTTCTCATAGATAAGAATTAGACAACCAGAAACTCTTGGTAAACTAAACAAATTCACATATTGGAACATGTACAGCAGATTAGGAAGGAAGTTGGGTATGCTAAGCTGAAAAGCTGCAGACAGTTTCTCATCTATCATCTTATTCCTGTTCCTGCCACTAAGCAAGGTCCCCATACTTTGTGGAGGGCTGGATTGTACTTAAACAGCCAGCTGATAATCCCACAAATTCTGTCACTGGATAGTAGTCAAGCAGCACTGATGGAATCTTAGATTAGGATGATTCCTATCAGTAGGAAGAAGCTTCACCATCCAGCAGATTTGCTACATATATGGAACTCCAATGCATACTCAAGGCTTACACACAGATCACCACATTCTGTGCACATGTGTGTCCATGTGTGCGGAGCATCTGCCAGCCCAACAGGGAACTTGCATTCCATGTGTCTGCAGCACCCCACATTTCCAGCTAAATGTGCAACACAGTACCCCCCAGAAGTTTGGATTTATTCTCAGCATGCCAAATTCTTGATAAAAGAGCAAGATGCTTAGTTGCTGTGCCTATGCAGACTTATGGTACTGTACTAATTGCTATACCTGATACTGTATTTTATGCCACTTTTATTAATTACATATAGTTGATTTTAATGCATTTTCAATCATAGCATCATTATCCTAATTATTTCCTATAGAACTTTATTTTAATAATTTCAATAGTTTCTTGTGGGAAATGGTGTGGAAATATTTTCTTTTCCATGTTCATAATGTTCAGTACTGTCTAAATTTCACACATTCTATACATTTATAGATTACTAAGCAAAAAAGCACTATGCAGTGCATGCAGTATTAAAACTACTCACTAATAGTACAAGCCATTACAATATATTCTTAGAGCACAGAAAATCCAAATATCACAATTTTTATCTACTTCAAAACTTCATGATGTTCACAAAATACTACAACACAAATTCTCATCTACACATACTATATATATTAAAATACCTTTCATGAGGAGGGGAAATGTCATTGTCATCAAAATATGTGTTAGGCACTCTTCCCTCCTTCCTACTCCTCCTGAACATAAAATAAACAGCAAAGGTACTTTAAACATTTTCAGATTGACTTATATGCCATAAGGTCCCCCTCCCGCCCCATTTAGCACTGAAGATGAGAAGGAGGATGAGGAAGAGGAGGAAAATTTATTATTATTATTATCATCATTATTATTATTATTCCATCCCATTAGCCATAAGATTCCCAGATTTATATTCCACCCTTCATCACAAGGAACCCCAGTGCATTACACTGTTATTGTATAATGCTGATTCACCCCTTTGTTGCTCTATGATGCAGCCCAGCATACATCAAGCATGTCTTAAGAGGGAACTATAGAATGCAATGCAAATCTCTTGTATTCACAACAGCAATTCCCCCTCCCCTTTCATCTAGTTCAGAGTATCCCATTTCCTGACATCACTAAGGGCCTTCATATGACCTGCTCCCCTTTCACCCTGAAAGCATAGATGAGGTCGTTGCAAACAGCAGAATTATAGGCATGAATGAGACATATTTTCATCTGCGGTGTAAATGTCACTGGAAGAATATCTGGAATCCAAGGTTGTACAGAATCATAAAAAGTGATGCTCATCATCTGCATACCGCAGCTGGGAATGATAGAATAATGGAATCAAAGAAAGGAAATCTCCAGTCAGTGACATAGGCCTGCTGGAAGGGCAATGCACCAAATCACTTGCATGGTGGATGTCACAAACCAAAAATATTTAAGTTGTCTCTGGAATTCCTCTGTCACTAAGGAGAATATTGCATGGCACTTGGTATTTCTTGCATATCCCTGATATTCCTAAAGAATGTCAACATGAAATTCCAGGCCTTTGCACCCAAATTTCCTATGGCATATATCTTGAGGAATCTTCTTGACAGTTCTTTGATGGAGGTCTAATTGGCATCAGAGGAATACCTAATTGGTATTCTTTGCCGAAAGATTACACACCTCCCAATTCTGCTATATATAGGATTGCCACAATTTTCATAACTGCCTTCATTTTGGGGGGTTGGAAGGCTCCTTCAGAGCCATACCTTTTAGCTAAGTTTTTGCATAATTTTTTGGTGGTCTTATGATCTCTGGGACGTCTCCCTGAGGATCTGATTCAATCTTTTCTGCAAACTCTGAGCCATAGTGACTCAGGTGGTAGGTGGAAATTCTATAGAAATTCTATAGTGGGGATTTAAGTGAGATTATCAGAGAGGGCCTCTCTGAATCTGCCAGTCCTTTTTCTTCACTGGACAGATCTAAGCCTGGATTCATTCACTGTGGTGGCTCATTTAGTAAATTTTAGGCAGAGACAATGCTCAGCCAGCTGGGCAATCATGCAGCTACACTTTTCATACTTAAAAAAACCCCTGTTATGCCATAAAACTCTCTGAGGATTATTCTTAGTTATAGGTGACAATTAATGTGAAGGGAAAACATAGAAATAATAGCTTTCTACCCAGTGCAGGAAGCTAACAGCTCCTTACACCATGGCAGCAAGTTCCTTATATAGCTTGGCATGAAACTATGTGGGTGAGAGCATTAACTCCTCTCTCTTGACTGAGTTTCTTGATGCTTTAAGAAAGAAGTCAAGGGGCAGGGAATGAGCAGCTCATGTTCCTTAAAATCAAGTTTTCATTATTTAGTATGTGCAGGCACAGAATGCATTTGGAGGAGTATGCACAGGCCATGAAAGAGAACACACCGTTATTTAAATACAATATTTTGTTAAATGAATTGTCCTGTTATGGAATAAGGTAAGTAAGTAAGGTAAACAACTCCCAGAAAAGAAAAAATACTTAAAGAAGCAAAGGTGTGATCCAACTGAATTCTTCCACTAATGGAATCAGAGGAACAGGAAGGAGGAGGCAGATTTCTCCCATCCTCTAGACTCTCCACATACATAGCCCCAAAACCTGCTCTGGAAGGTTGTGGGGTCCTCTGGAACAGTTCTGAAATGCAGAGGATTGCAGAGGGGAGGAGAGGAGGAGAAAGTCCAATTATGCAAGTATATTTCCACTTGCACAATATTATTTCTTCCAAAGTATCATTTAAAACATAAATGGCTGCTTTCTGAACATCAGTGGAGTACTACCTGTTTATGTCTGATGTGGGAGCCTAAATAAACACTCCACACCAATTATACCTCTCAAATTCATAGTAAGCACCCTCAGAATAGGTACGGCACATCGTACGGGATCGAAGTAATCTGACTGCATCTTCAGAAAAGATAGGATACATTGAGTGCTCCTTGCTGCCAAAACATAAGGGGTGAACATGAAACTAAAGTAAGAACATGCACACAAATGCAAAAGTAAATATTAATCACAGAAGCAAATAAAAATGAATTAAATGAGAAAAAAAATGGCCAACTCAGATCTGGTATGGCGATGCATGTTAAATTATGTCTATTAATGAGCAAAGTAAGAATTAAAAGCACTATAATGCTTTGGGCTGTTCATCTAAGAACAGGAGTCTCAGAGCATTCCAGAGCTTATCTGAAGTTGTGCTGGAAAAGTTTCGCATACATATATGTGGTAGCTTACATGTTCCTATCAAGTTCTGCTCAAATATTAGAAGGAAGCACTACCAGTCAAATGTCAAGGTAATATATCACTGTAGCCCCTCAAATGGCCATCTGTGCAGTCATACATAAGGGTTCTGGGCCTGGGCAGAGACTTCACTGGACCCTTCTAGAGCTGAGACTTCTATGCAGGAAGCCCTCCCTTCCTCTTATAGATGCTTGAGTTTCACTGAAGAGACGGGCAACAGCCCCAAACTGAGAATTAGGATAACATATACCAAGGGTGGCCAAACTGAGGCTCCTTGAGTTTATCTTGCAGCTCACTGCACACCCCTGTGGGAGCCTGCAGGCACCCACTTGCCAGCTGCTGGTGTCACCTGTGGGCACCCACTCACCACTGTCGCCCACTCACAGCTCTCAAACATCTGACATTCACCATATGTGGCTCTTCTGTTGAGCAAGTCTGGTCACTCCTGAATATACCAAAGCACCTGAGAACAGTAGGTTGAGTGATTGAACAAATGACCACTGAAGGTTACAACCTGTCCTTCTTCATGGTTTCTGTGCATTACACATACGTATGATTAACTAGGAAGTTACCGAAAGGAAGAAGGAATAGGTGGATATGATAGTATAAGTGAAAAAATGGCTTGACTGAAGAAGGCATCCTTCTTGCTCAAATATCCAGACAATATTGTGAACTTAGACCAGGAAGCAGTCCTGCATAACTCTTTAATAAAAGCACTCTAAAAAAACAACTGAAGATTCAACAGCTGAATGGAAATGGCCCATACTGAACTTGGAATCCGAAGCTGAGCCAGGCACAACGAAGTTTAATTGTGCTGAAGCTACAGAAACTTGTTTTCTTAAAATCAGAAAGTCTATTTTTATCCATTAAGAAAGAAATGTTTTGGGGTCTTTCTGAAGAAAGTTGTTTGATGAAGATGGAAGGTCAGAGCCCATCAAAATTCTATGGAGTGAAAATAATACCTCAATGGCATGGATAGATCAGGGAAAAAACAGGAAGAATAATATCTTGGTTCAGATGGCAAGAAATAGAAAAGCTGGATATGGTCTGAGCACCACTTTGTCTCTTTAACAGACAGTGGTTGGATGGTCAGAAAAGAGAGCATAGAATTCTACAGCTGGAAAGGGCCAGGAAGGCTCAGCGCTCTGCTCAGTGCAGAACTCGAAATTTAACCTTCCTACTCAGAAGGCTGCCAGCTGTATCTTGAATGCCTCTAGCAAGGGCATTCCTAGGTAATGGTTCCATTGCCATACTGCTATAACAGTCAGGAAGGTCTTCTTGATGTTCAACCAGAGCCTAGCGTCTTGTAACTTGAGCACGTTATTCCATATTCTGCACTCTGGCATGATTGAGAAGAGATCCTGGCCTTCTTCTATGCGACAGTCTTTCAAGTAGTCAAAGTCACATTTCTCCTCAAGCTTCTCTTCTCAAGGCTAAACATGCCCATTGGCAACCACATCACATTGCTCACCCATATTCAGTTTGTAATCTAAAACAATTCCAAGATCCTTCTCACTTGCACTATTTTTAAACCCAAGTGTCTAACATCTTGACACATGTGATTTCTTTTTCCTAGGTGCAGTACATGGCATTTCCTCCTATTCAACTTCTGTCTGTTGTTTTCAGCCCAGCACTCCAACCAATCCAGATAATTTTGTATCCTGCGTCTGTCCTCTAACCCAGTTTTGTGTCATCTGCACTTCCTCACCCAAATCATTAATAAAAGTGTTGAAGACCACTGAACCTAGGACTGAACCCTGTAGTATGCCATTCTCCCCGATTTGAGAAGGTGCCACTGAATTCTGTAGTCAGCCATGGATCCATTTTTAGCTAGTTTGCCAGACAAGCTATCTTGGGGCATTCTGTTAAAAATTTTACTGAAGTCAAGATTTATTATGTCCACAGCAGTCCCACAGTAACCACCAGGGAGGTTTTTTCATACAAAAAATGAAATCTAATTAGTCTTGACAAATACATGCTGGCTTCTAGTAATTACTGCATTGTTTACAAGGCCTTTACAGACTGCTTTATAATCTGCTCCCAAATTTCCCAGGGATTGATGTCAGATTGACTGGTCTGTAGCTTCCAGGTTCTTCTTTTTCTCCTTTCATAAAGATGAGTGCAATATTAGCCCTCCTCCAATCCTCTGGCACTTCCCCTATTATCCATGATTTCTCAAAAATAATAGACAGTAGTTCTGAGAGTGTTCTTCTAGTTCCTTTATGACTCTAGGATGGGATTCACCAAGCCCTGGAGATTTGAACTTATTCAACTTAATCGGATGACCCTTGACAATTTGTCTATCAATCTCAAGCTGCCATCCTGCTCCTTCAACTTGTAGTTCCCCTTTGACAGGAAGGTCACAGAGCCTCTTTCAGGATAAGACTAAGCCAAAGTAAGAATGGAACACTTCTGCCTTTTCTTTGTCATCTGTTACCATTTTGCCATCCACATTAACTAGCTGGACTGCCACTTGTTTCTTCTGCCTTTTATTATGGACTTATCTGGAAAATGGCTCTCTTTTTTGCTGCTTTTAGCAACCCTTGCTAACCCCAGTTTCTAGATTTAGCTTTCGTGATGCCATCCCTGAAATTCCATGATACCTGCTTGTATTCTTCCTTTGTGGTCTGGCCTTCCTTCTACCTCCTATAAATTTCCTTTTTGTTTTAAGAAGGTATCCTGAGCTTTTACAAGTTATGACAACAACAAAGAGAATTTTAAAAGTTAGCTGATTAAGTTCAGACACAGCAAGAGTCTCAATAGGTTTGCATATTAGGCTGGAACAACAATGGAGAGATTCCCAGAAGGAATGGGGTTCGAAACAAGATGGTATAGGGTCTTAAATTCCTTTTAGAATCTCTTTGCAATTAGATAAAAAAATGGCATGCCCTAAATCTGACAGTGCACTTGATAACCTAAAGCAACTACAAAGCATATCCTTGCTTGAAAAGTGTCAAGAAGAATTGAAGAACACGATGAACAAAATGGAAGATGGAATCCACAAAACAGAATTGGTGTTCTGCAGAAATGCTTGCTATTTTACAACACAGAGTTGCTGGGTTCTGGTCTTTTTTGCTGACTCTAAAATCTTCCTGACATCTGGTAGAATGGGTGAAGGCACTGAACGTGCCAGGCTGTCAGTAGTGAAGTGAATTCCAGCTGCGGAACAAGACCATTCTGCTGGATCAAGTGGGATGGTGAACTGGATAATATGATGCTGACTCATTCACACAGAGATAGCAAGGTGACAAGCCACCACTGTTTAGACCATCATGTGGTAATCAGAATGCTGTCCAGTCCATTTCATCAAGTTTTGGCTAAGGTACTTGTGATAAATATAAATTAAGGGAAAGCACCAATAAAGGAAAGGGAAGAACTACTGAACTTGCTCTACTGTGCTGAACATTCTTGTTGATGTCATTGAAGTCGACCTGTGCTATATATCCCTTAACTGAAAAAAAGTAAGGTAACTCTTAATGATGGATCTCTTATTTCCCCTTTTAACATAGAGATAACAGTGCAGACATCACATCATAGACAGGTAATAGCATGAGAAGTAGTTGTCATGAGCAGCTCACTTCCTTCCTCACCTTTTCAGCAGATTCAAAATGAAACCATAGAAGTTCTATCCTTTATCTGAAGCTTACCAGATACCAAACAGGCTAAATCTTACTGGATACAGAATAGGCTTAGAGATGGGGGAGAAGCATCTGCCCATGTAAAGAGTTGAATACAGACAGAAACTTCCCCTTCTTCCCTCCCTTTCAGCAAAGCTTCTGGCTCCATCCTCAGGATGGCTCCTGCCACATGCAGGCTAGATGGCAGAAGCAACCGACACTGCCATCAAACCTAAATTCCCCCTGTGTCCCACCCATTCCAGTTTTGAAAAGCCTGCCTCCCCATCCAAAGTAGGCTGGTTCTCACAGGCAGTCTGGGGAACTTCATGAGGCAACCTTGAAACTGTAAAGTCCCCCCCCCCCCTTGCTTGACCACCTCCTCCTTAGAAAGAGACATCCCCCTTGTTTACAGTGGTTATGGTGGTGGCTGAAGTTGTTCTGTTGCAGAGCAGCCAAATTGTTCTGTGAAACAGGAGACAACATGGATGTAGAATGAACTGATATTTGCAGTGGGTCTGGAGAAGAAGGTGCCAGAAGTGGTACACTTGATGGAGCAATGATGGTAACTGGAATTGATGGCCAGGATGGAGAAAACACAAACAGTACAGAGACCAATGAGAAAGCCAGAACAATTTTAGAGGGTGGCTTAGAACAAGTCTGGGGTGGGTGCCATCTGGACTAATTTACTGATTCTACTGCTTGTAAGACAGGTTAGTACAGTGCGTAGTAAAGCATACTATGTGAAGACCAGAAGAGTGGTTCTGCCACACATAATTGGCAATTCCTTGGTAGTATTTAACTGGATCCTACCACACAACCTGCATCCAAACAGAACAGGCAGAGATTGTGACCATCTGTTGGTAGTAACCCATTTCCACAATCTGTACACTGACTGAAAGCAGCCCAAAAGACTTTAAGGACTGCAAAGGCAGTCTTAGGAACTGAACAGGACTGCAAATGCACTAACAAGAACTGAAAACACTAATCTGAAAGGAAGAAATAACCAAGAAGAGGGAGGGAGGGAGGTGTACAGGACAGGGACAAAGAAATGGAAAAGGAAAGGAAAAGAGAGAAGCAGGAACAGAAGTAAAACAGAGATCTAAGCTCAATCAGCAAAGACCACCAATCAGCAGTGTATTATGAATGTCGCTACAGCAGCAGCTGAAGAAAAACTGAGGGGACAGGTACATGTGGATGGGAAGGTTGGCTTTCCTTCTAAAAGACTCAGCTCTAAGAAGCCTGGAGATACTGTGCAGGCACCAAACCTATACGTGTAATGCACAAAAATCATTTCTGGTTATTGGTATTTCTCCAGTAACATCCAAAGCCGCTAACAATTTTGATTCTGATGTACACTTTCCATTCCCACAATGGCCCCATTCCAAGCAGATGCAAATGTAATCCCTGCTACAGAGGTTTACATCTACTACTGTACTTGCAATAAATGTCCTCCCCCACAACCCCCCCCCCCCAGTACTATCAGTGCTAGTAACCTGTTGGGGAAAACGAATTGCATGCCCTGAGTCTAGAAACATTTATTTTGTGTGAGAGGTTATTATCACTGTAAGAGGCTGACCATGAGAGCCACCTGCACATTCTACAATATTTATAAGGCCCAAGCAAAGGGCTTCCACAGTAATTCTTCCCATTATTTTGTAAGTTAGGTCAGTATTATTTTAGCCATACCATAGCTTGGGGGCACTTTACTTGAGAGACAGATATTAACCAACACTTACCTAGTGAGCTCACTCTTTCAGATAGTATGTTACACTAGTCTAAACTATGTCACTGTACTTCCCATAACATTTTCTATAGCCCCAGTATGGAAAAGAACCTCTTTCTGCACATGGTCAGAAATGCCTGGATTAGGGATAGTGATGTGTGAGGGGAGGGGAGCTATCTGAGAAAGTTTATCCTTATATTTTTTTTCTAGACTTACTAGAAATCTAACATGTGAAAGTTCAAAAAGTCTTAAAAAACAAACTGCTCAATTTCACACAACAATGGGGCAACAATTGCTATCAGTGGTAATATGAACTGCACTGGTTATGCTTTTAAGGCATTAAAAGTAATATCTAGTTAACATACTAATTAGCTTTCCATTAAAAACATGTGGAACTATTCAATGACCTGAATAGTTTGAAGCAAAAATTTAAGTTCAAACCAGGACATGCATTATGCACACAGAATTGCACACAGAAAAACAGATACCTGGGATCTCTATGATGATAGTCAGTGGACTGAGTATGTTGGGACCAAGGCAGAGTGACATAATGACTGAAAGCACAGCAGAAACAAAAATAAAAATGCAATACAAAGAAATGAAAACAGGCTAACAAACATCACAAAATAAGAAGCTGAAGCTGGCATGAAGACAGAGCAGCTGCAAAATCGTATTCTTAACAAAAGCAGACCAAAAATGGACAGAATGCAAAGAACTCTGATAGATACATTAATTATAATTTTATCATCTAGAATCACACGTCATGGTGCTAATGCACTTCCCTGGTCTCAATGCCAGTGTTAGCAGCAGAGTCTCAGGCAATCTCAAGTATTTATGGGGCTTGAACCTTGCGCAGCCAACAGGTTGTAGTAATTCATTACTTTAGGTCTTTGGAATCTCTGACTTCTGTTGTTACTGGGAGCATATTATATTTTGTTTGTCAAAAGCTGCTGCTGGGAAAGAAACGAACATGGGCAAACAGTCATTAGAGAGCACCCGGACCTTGTAGGCAACTTGCACAGCCTTTAAACACAGTTTTTGCTTCTTCAAAATTCAACAGAACTGTATTCAAAATCATAAGACTTTTTTTATATATTGTATGAAAGTTGCCCAACAGTAGAAATGTTTACTTTAAGGTAAAATATATTCAGTAACACAAAAGTGGGACCTGCAACAAAATGTGTTCCGATCCAGGGTATGCTATTCCATTTGCCCTCCTGTCCTATTTCTCCTTCCAAAAGTCAGTCAGCATTCTATGGCTATCAAACATGCTCAGTCCTCATTGGACTGTCTAGCGATTTTTTAAAAATATACTTCTACAAGCCTTGGGGGTTTCCCTGAACCTGCCAAGAACTCCCTCTGGATACAGTGATACCCAAAGTAAACAGTACTGCCTCCCTGGGGACAAGGGAAAGATCCCCCGTCAGTGATTGGTTGTTTTAAATTTGCAGTAGAGTACTACAAATAAAGAGGTGTGGGGGTGATAGGGTTGTCACCCAAGAGGAAAGGGGATGGCAGCACAAAGGGGGCCACTGCTCTAATACATGGATGGTTCTATATGGACTCCATAGGCAATAACATGTATACATGAACACTGCAAATGGAAACGGTGATACTTTTGGAGAAAAAACATTAGCATGTGTAATTTAAGAAAAAAATGCTTTTTAAAATTGAGAGAAAGTAAATTAAGAGATATATTGTTTGAGAAAAAAATCTGAAATGTGTATTTTGGATTGTTTTTGTGCAGTTTAAAAACATTCCCAGGTTAATGTGGAAATGGGACTTAACATATGAATACATGCTAACGTAATGTGAACTGATTTGACCCCCTTTACTAATGTATGCTGCAATCTCTGTATTTTGTCTTAAAAATGATGCACATACATTGAATGTTCGTTTCTTCATGAGATAATAAAGTGGCCACAACCAAGTACACAATGCATCATTTTACAGTATGCATGAATTGGTAATGAAAAAGTGCAAAACAACCCGGTAACAAAGAGATCAATGCATAATTAACTCTTCTCAACAATACAATTTTGAATTTCACTGTTTGCCTTTGTAATTACAATAACACTAGCCTGAATTCAGACTAAGCTATAAAGTAGATCTAATGAAATCAGTCCAACTAATTGCAGTGGGACTACTCTAAGTATGACTAAGTCAAGACCATCCCAATATGTTTTATATTCAAGACAGATTAGGATATTGCTAGATTTAAATAAATTTACACATAATCAGATTATGAAAGAAAAAGCAATTTCTCAGTTAAGAAAAGGTGTACTTCTTCTGTTTCAATAAATAATCAGATCCAATGTTAACTAGTAGCAGCACAACTTGCTTTTTAACTTCTCTTTCAATTTTGAAAATTTCTCACAAAACTGGAAAACTGAGTTTTACAGCTCAGTATTAATTTTCTTAAAGTTACTTTTTTTATACCACTTAAGAAACAACTGTCAGTTGTCATGGATGATACCATAGCCTGCCATTTCAAGAATTTCTCATTTGGCAAAACAAAATCAGTAGCTCTCATGACAATTCAAGTAGCAATTCAGTATGATCTGCTGTTCTCAGGGGATGCTTAAAACTAATGCTTGCATTGAGAGATAAGCTGTCTCATCACAATGGAGATGACTTATCTGAGTCAGGAAAATGCAATCTCAGCACATCCTGCCTTTATCAAGATAGTCGGTCACAAGAAATTACTTATCCAAGAAATTACTACTGGCCAGTTATATTATTCAGAGTTCACACAGGTAATTTTCTGTGGATTATCAGGCTTTTCAGCTCTCTCACCAAAAAACTTCAATGAAGTAAACATAGTAAGAATTCACTTAAGCTGATACTTGCGGGCATGGATGATTTGCTTTCCTCTTCCTTCCCTGACACTTTCTCCCCAATTACATAGAAATCAATGTGAGATTTCTTCAATTATATTCATGGGCTCTTGCCACTATTCCACCTTGAGACTTAATTTTGTATGAGTCCTGAGTATCAAAGCAATAGATCGATCTGGAACACACTGATACTGCAAGTGTGCATTTATGAAAGGGACAGCTGCCATTGCTTTTTAGATACATATTGCTTCGGCGAATGGGGCGGCATAGAAATTTTCTAAATAAATAAATAAAAATAAATATACACTCAAACTACACTCAAACTAAACACACAGAAATTCTAGCCTGCATTTCATGTCCTAACACAACCTTATTAAGAATCTGGTGTGGCACTGAAAAGGAGCTACTGTGGAAGCCCTTTCTTCAGTTGCCTCTTTCAACTCACTGAAGAAAAGGTTGCTACAAAATACAATTTTCCCTTCAAACTATACCATGTCAAATAGAAAAACATATTCCCATCAGTTTTCTACTATATCAAAAGCTAGCATCTATTAGTACTGTTTTCCCCCAGGGATGATCGAAATACAGTCCCACAATTGTCCATTCCATTTGAGATGGAAAATTAAAATATATTAGAAAAGAGGAGCTAGAAGATAGCTTTAGCTATTGGACGGTATAGAAATTAATTAGCATCTATCTGAAAATGGCAGCTCAAAAATGGCAGACCTCACAACAAAGAGGGGAAAACAAAGTAATCACTTGTTAGAGTCCTAACTACTATCATTCATGACTTAGTTACTTCTAGGATGACTCCTATAATATATTTGATGTGCTCATGATGCTCATTTGCAAATTTCACCTATTTAAGAATGTCACTGCATGTGTGCTATTAGGTTTAACTTTGAACATACAACAATTTCAGCAAAGGTACTGGTTTGTTTCTAGGTCCTTTTTAACATAATGGTTTTAAGCTTTAAAACATGTATGTTATGGTGCTTTATAATCTCGGGGAGAAGTCTTCTGACATTTGATCGCCCACATCAACTTCAACTTTTATCCTATCTCAAAGGATAGGATAAAAGTGCTCAGAGTGGTCTGATAAAACTACATGATGGACAATACATGTAAACCAAGCTTGTTCCACAGCACCATTTTTATATGGAGAATTGGATTGTATAAGGATAGCACTTGTAGCAGCCAGCAAATATTTCCAATCACAAGGGACATTTTTCTAGTTGGAGAAATGGCTCTGGCCATTGCCAGCTCTGCCTGTGTATAGTTTATAGTGATATTCCTATACAATCCTGAACATAGTAGGGCTCATGTGAAGAAAACAAGAAGTATGCATCAACACCTATGTTTCTGTGTACTTCCTGATGGTTAGGATCCCAATGGATATAGAATGGGCTTCCAAAGGAGATAGTTGAGGCCCCATCAGTGAGGGTGTTCAAGGAAAGATTGGACAACCACACAATGGGAATTACATGTATGGAGTGGGCTGGAGCCCGGGGGGTCAGACTAGATGGCCTGGGAGACCCCTTCTGACTCACTTTGTTCCTATGTTTCTAATCCATACTCTACAGAATAATCTCCAATTAGTGAATTTCTCTGGTTATTGTGGTAACATGTTTCCAGTATCAGCAATGATTACTTGTTTTGCCATGTAGATATGGAGTTTGTGCAGTATCTACCATCCAAATTAAGATGAATTAGGAGAAGTAATGTAATTAAGCTTATTTGGATGCAGCATCCTTGGTTTCACAGAAATAGGTTTTTAAAAACAGGAAAGCGTTTTGGACCTGCACACTAATCCCTCACTCCTCCTTTCCCAGAATAATGTCCTGATTAGAAAAAGAATATTAAACCACATTTCCCTGCTTGCATACAAAACGAACCCTAGTTTAAACCAAACAGATCTCAAGAGAAACAGGAGAAGGAAAGTATAAAGGAGTGCACAGTCTGAGACTCATTTTTGACTTTATAAACCATGGCTCATGAAGCCAGGAACACTACTTCCCCATCAGCCCTGAGGCATTCATAGTATTTGAGGATAAGCAAGAATATTTTAAGCACAAGTTATAAATTCTGATAAATGGTACAGGAAATATGTTTTCCCAAAAATGTTTATATAAACCTACTGAAGAACATTTGTACTAGTGTTTCTTCTGAATGACAAACTATTACCTGTGTTAATTGAACTCTAATTTCATGCTTCAAAAAGAGCACATTTCAATTTTGTGAAATTAACATTGGAAACACCTTACAATTTCAGCACTCAGAAAAGATCAGTTTCAGTAATTTCTATTATATTCTGTAATACAAAATGTGAATATATTTTGTAGGAGTTAATCTGTGCATCAAAAACTATGAAACACCCTGAAGACTAACAAATGTATTCTGTCATAAGCTTTTCTTAGACATATAGTGTAAAACGTATCTATCTATCTATCTATCTATCTATCTATCTATCTATATATATATCTATATATCAGACATACTTTGTCATATATATTATATTCTCAGCAAATTATCCAGTTATCGATATGCAAATATACCAGCAGAGATATTATTACAAAGCCAGTCACTGTATGCTCAGCAATGCAAGAGTCAGGTATATCCTGTTATTGCTCAAAATCTAATCCTAACAAATTCTCATAATAAAATAACACAACACAAAATTCCAACTGAAAAATCCACCCCACTCGTAATACTTCAGC